TGATCCATCGTTCCGTCAGCCACATCACAACACTATCATTTACTTAAAAACATACCTAAAATGTGTGTTTCGCCGTATGTCAGGCTAGCAAAGACCCAATTCTCAAATAATTAACGATCGCTAATGATAAATGATAATATTATTCTGTTATACGAGTATTTGAGAATAAACTCAGAATATATTCCAATATACATAATCCTATTGAAGCAAGTAACATAACGTAAGTATATACAACGTAACTGAACCATGATTTAATAGCTAGGCAGATGCATAGATGTATTTACTAGCTTTGACTTAAGCTCTATTCAATACTTGATTGGAAACTGGCTGGAATCGAACCAGCAAATGGAAACGTAGCCTAGGTTACTTGGTAATACTTAACACAAGATTGATATACCTATTGAGATTGTGAAAAGCATAAAAAGGTTATCCCCTGACAAGAAACAATCTACACCGTCCATGGATATTTGCAATACTAAAGAAGTGTAAATCTGCGTTGCCTTTAGTATAATAGCTTGAGACAGATGACCTTCGGAGATAAGGATGTTTGGACATATTTTTTGGCTATTTAACCACCATGCTATTTATTTATCAAATTGCTGAAGGATTATTAGTACTTAGAAAACAACTGCACTACAATAACGCCAGTGCTATGTAAGCACATAATTCTATCAAACAAGAAACCGTTTATCAAAATATTCAAGATCACACTACTCAGCGAATGATTTTATTACAATTATCGGGTACCGCTGTGGTATAGCCAAAACCTTAAAATTTCTCTTCAAATGTCAGTCCAATTTATTACAATTTACCTGTATATATGTAGGTATAACAAAGAAAATTAGATCAACCAAGATCATAATTATAACAATACTTTATTTAGTTAAATTTATCTTATCTCCTTTATAACGTTAATATTTATGAATGTATTACGAACGGCTTATAAAAAAGACTAGACAATATCTTAAGGCACACAATTATAAATAAATTTAAACAAACTATATTTACAATTGGTATTTGAGTTATCCTTATGTAGTAAATAGTTTTATTCGTAAAGAAAACACTAGTTTACTTAAGTATATTTTTATCACATATTGCTGCTAAGGTGCATCACTCTACAGAAATTATTAACTGCCATTGTAAAACTCAGATCACAGCTTCTCAGGCATGAGGCATGAGGGTTCGAAACCTGGCAAGTACCAATGTGAATTTTTCCGAGTTATAGGTACTTTCTATGATTATATAGACACCACTGTGAAGGAAAATATCGTGAGGAAACCTAGACTTATAACTTATCGTGGTCATTAATGCTCAAACCTTCTGTGTGTGAGAAGATATCTTTGTTAAGCAGTAAGCAATTATATATAGGCTGATGATGTGTGATGTGTGATCATACTACAGTTACCGGGTGTAACGTTTAAACTAGACAACATATACAAGTTGCACTTGCGGTTTTACCGCATCTGATTTTAAAACCGTAAATGTCATAAAATATTCAATGAAATTGTTACTTATTTGTAAGACATACTTATTTGTAAGATTGCTTGTATTTGTGTGGTTTTGCAGGTTTCAAGCAACGTGCGGATGTAGCAATTCTGATTGTGGTAGTTCGTAACTCAAAATACCGAAATATGGTCTTAGCCTAAGAGTTAGGTGCAATGAGGCACTGCGCCCTCGGCCTAGAGCAGGAGAAGAAACGGGACTTTGGGCAGGAGAAGTCATTTGATGATTTTCCCCTCACAAAAAAGAAGCCTAAGAATTAGGTCAGCTGGGGTTGCGGGGCAAACCCAATACGGCACCGCGGCCGCAGCCTAGAGCTAGACAAGGAACAGGTAAGGTTCCTTACAGTTGGAATCTGACACCACCCCTTACTTTGGACAAGAGAAGCTAGCTATTTGCCAACAATATAACAATTAAATCAGTGTATTCAATAAAATTATAATAACATCTAATAAGCGATGACGATCAATACGCTTGATAATCAAGATATGTAGCTACCATGTCAGCAAATTGGACTTTGAAAACCGGTTTTATTACAATTATATGTAATTGTGTTAGGTTTAGTTGTCCTGCTATGCAAATAATATAACAAATATATTGTAGATTGACGGTTCACATCATCATCTATACCAAAATTTAAAGAGGTAAAATTTGTAAGTGTGTTTGGAACCACTAGTCAGATTCTCAAAATTCTTTCATTAATTGATAGCTACAATGTTCTCAGATGCTATAAAAAATCACGCTACAATTAAATGAAGCCGAGCAGCAAGTGAAACCGCGCGGGAGTAGCTAGTTTAAGGTATGTTATAATCCTGCCTTTTTTCACAGCTACCTACTGAATCAGATCTATTTCTGATTTCGTATTACTGAGAGATGTCGAAAAGAAAAACAGAATAAATAACAAAAGAAAACTTGTAACTGACGCATTGGACATTAGTCAGTGATGTCATTAGATGCAGCGTCAGGTGGGGAATTCACCTGATGTGGTGTTATTGTCAGTAATCTATGACCATGAAATTACTAATTGTTTATTATTATTTATTATTCATTTCAAATGAAAACAAAACATATCTTGCTAGCAACAACAAAATACAGCCCGATTTAATTTGGACTGCCTTTAAGCCTGTTTCATTGGATTGCCCGCGATCAATCGCTAGATTTTGTATTGAATGATTCACCCCAGTATGCTATGAAGAGATGTTAGCAAATTTGCTAAGATAAAAGTGCTAATATAGTTATATAGCAGATTACCCAACAGCTCCAACTAGACCTCGTTTCCATGCCATGGTGTATATGATATAGTTTCTGGCAGCATCTTCGCAAAAAGTATCAGGAGGAAAGTAGCTATAGGTTGCTCTAGACTACAGTATATCCAGGGTTGCGGGTGTAAGCGTAATTATGTAACGGGGCTCTGACGGCCCGCGGCTCGGAGCAGGAGGAGATTCTGTGGATGAAGCAGAAGATGGAATGGAGTGACTTTAAGTCAGTCGTCTGACACTCCCTATCGCCCCAATCAAGACGGCAGAAGTCATATATTATGAAGAATATATCATATCAAAAAAAAAAAAATCTGTACCGAATTTCATTCCGATGCATTCAGTAGTTTTGACGTGAAAGAGTACTAGACACCGACTCGTCCATAGAAACTTTCGCGTAGTTATATTTAAGAGGATTACAGTTCTTTCGTCTATTATTACGTAAAATTATCGTCTTCTCATCATGTGTTGATGACTTAATATTAATACTAGGTAACCTACTTGTAACCTGTTTTGCGTAGTAGGTAACGTAAAACTGGTCTACTAAATGTTTTTATAAGTACCACGTGGTCCATAGATACTAGATACTAAATAGCAAACCTATTAGTTTTAAACTCGTTTCGATGCAAACGTCGAAATTCGTAACGGTAAACCTTCCTTTATACAATGTTCTACACATTGTGTTTAACTTCAAAAGAAAGATTTTAGGAATTTAAATTTAATTAAATCTTTTATATGTTATTAAGAATTGTATTTTATTTGAAATAAACAGCATTAAAAAAGGACATAAGTAATTTAGTTTTCGCAAAAATATATTTTAAAATTTATTATTCCAGTGTAGGTATACTTTTGGTACAGCTAGGTAGGTACATATGCAAACGCTGAAAATTGGCTTATACTCTTGATGCAGGTAATATCTAGCAGTAGCGCTTGCTAACACTAGCTGAACTAGATAAAAAGAATATTAGCATAACTTATTCGCAATGTTTTCATTTCTAATCATTGTTTTAAATAGTTTTGTACGTTTCACCAATTTTAGAGAATAACATCGTCACGGTTGTCTCAATATTTGAATGCACTGTTGGTGCGGTGGCTGGGTAACTGATTGCCGTGCAACGTGTCGCGGGTTCGATTCCCGCACGGAACTACACTTTGTGTGATCCACAAATTGTTGTTTCGGGTCTGGGTGTCATGTGTATGTGACATTGAATGTTTGTAAACGGACCCACGACTCAGGAGAAAATCATAGTGTGGGGCAACGATTAAAAAAAATAACCATTTGTCAGAATATTTTAAATTTTTATATCTTAGAATATTTCTTCCGTGTAAAAATATCGCTTATAGTCTGTCGCTAATGCAACCGAACTAGATTTTAAATTTTGTAATTTATTGACATTTGGACAACATTTAAAATGTCTTATCAGATTAATGCTAGAGTGTTTGGCCGTAAACTATACGGCACTACGGTATTTTCCCGCGGGCAGTTACCCCCTATAAAAGTGAAACCGCTTGAGACACACGCATCGCGTTTCTAAACCACGAAATTACACGCGATTTTTGACATTTGGCGACTGCTAGTCGACGATAGTCGCGAGACAAAAAGCGCAACTGTGTCCGCTCGATTCGTTGTCTTGTGTCACAAACTCCCGCGTTTTACCGTAGTCGAATAATAATTGAAACAAAATATAATCGAATATTTTAACGATATTTTTGTTTTATCGTTTGTGTGAAACATAAAATTACGCGTACGTACAACATTTAACTCACCGTCTTATCCAACAGGAAGCTGGCGGGAAATATGAGAGGGATGTAGGTGATCATGTAGATCATCGAGGTCCAGTACACTTGGATACTCGACACATCGTAGTACTTGACGATAGCATCCTGGATGATCGTGTACTGTATCCATTGCATCGAGTTCGAGGCGGAGTTGAACACAAACACGAACAGAACGAGCCATCGAATGGGATACACCACGTATTCCGTCGCTCCCTTCTTAGTAGGGGACTCCAGCACAGCCCCCTTCTCAGCCACACCGTCCATAACACTCCCACAAACTTCCATATTCTTTTGATCGGTCATCTTTTGTAAAGATATTTACGAATATATTAATATAAAATAGATATCTCTAAATCTTCATTTATTGTCGTATTGTTGTCTCAATTTTGGCATCTAAATGGCACTAGTTTGACTATTTCTAGGTACGTATAATAAAATTTGGAATAGCAACTAATTTATTTATTGTCAGATTTCCCGCGCGCGCGTGTTCGTGTGTGCGAGGCGCAGGCGTGTAGCTCGCGCGGCGGCCGGCCGTCGACTGTTTTCCATTTTCCTGCAATCAGAAGCTGAATGGAATGCTTCCCGTGCACCCTCCGTGCGTGGCGTGATGATAACAAAGATGCCGCCTGCTAGACCAGCTGTCTGTCAACACTACAATCAAATGATTGCCATCGTAAATAGGATGTAGATTACAGCTAACCAAACAGTTGTTATTGCGCGAACTTTGCTTGTAAAGTGGATGCGTGCTCGTCCTTATCTCAGCGCGTAAGATATTCACGGATAATGTGGCTGAGCGGTGCCGCGGTGATGTGACAGCTGAATGAGTACCTAATACTACAATAACACTCGTTGGTAACCGATATCTCGCGATGATACTGTAAATGCCTATTATGTTGATTATCTAAATTGTTAAAGGAACAAGCGATGACTTGTTTGTTTTATACTTTTTATTCAATAAAGATATTTATTATTGATCTTTGACGCGAATAATTAAAGTGATTATGATTGAAAGTAGTTGAGCCTCATGCCAAAAAGTTCTATATAAAATATTTAATAAATGGTTACGTAATAAACTGTTGTCCAACACCTACATAAAATGGTTTATGTTTTGTATTTTTTAAGTTTATTATTTCTTTTCCAAACAACAGTTTCACCTTAGTTTCCTTCCTATTAAATTTTCATACGCCACATGATATGTATGTACGGCATACCAAATCTCTAATGAAATTATTTATCAATTTGCAAAACAAACAATGCTTAACCAACAGCACGTTACACAAAAATCGGTAAAACCATGCGAGTAACTTCAGTAATGCGATTGTTTTGCTCAAACAGTGCTTCGAAGGGAAAACATGCGTGATTATTTCCGTCGATACACCGCTACGCGCTCGTTCTCACTGACAATGTATCGACATATTTGGGATATAGTCACCGACAGTCCGGACGACATGCATACTTAGGATATGATATATGTAAATATGTATGATTAGCCGGGACTGTGAGGTAATCACAATAAAGGCCGGCCTCGGCCTGGAGAGGAGTGAGGAGCGACAGAGGAAGGAACGAGAAGGTTTTTAGTCAGTAAGAGTTTAATACTCCCCAATGATTTCCTCTTCACAAAAAGGGGTATTTATGTATACTTAATTATAGTTTCTGACAGCGGCTTCGCCAGCAGGACCAATTGTTTGGTGTTGTTGCTCACTCTTTCATATCAACACTATTGAAAGGATCTGAATGGTATGATCAGAGATAGATGCCATAATATCTTACAGACATCCTAACATAAATACAAACTCTTGCGTTTCTAATATAAGTGGGATAACGCACAAAGCCCATTGCAGTGTTAATTTCACAGGAATAGCGACAACCGTAGTTCTCATAGTTTTTTTTTAATTTAATAGGTCCGCAAACGGTCAGATGGTAAGCAATCAACGCCACCCATGGAAACCCGCAACGGAGGAGTTACGAGTGCGTTGCCGACCTTTTAGGAATTAGGGATTTGGAGATTTAAGGATTGGGGGAGGGGAAGGATTGGGCCTCCGGTAACCTCACTCACACGGCGTAACACAACGCTGTGGTTGTTTCACGCCGGTTTTCTGTGAGGCCGTGGTATCACTCCGAAAAGTTTCCAATATTTCAGTATGTAAGTACCCATTATTATAAATATTTAATAATTACTTCGTCGAGCAAAGTAAAACTTAAATATTTTGTCGATTATAATTACATATTCGTAATATCTTCTGAGCAGGTTTGAGTTGAGACAAGTATAAGTAATCTTGATTTGATTCGTGCTTCTCATAATGAAGCAAATATTGTAAAACTTCTTCCTAACTTTCAGTGCCAAGCATATTTGTATGTATGTATATAACGTAGATTTAATAAAAACAAAACATGAAAATTCAAGTCCATTGCTTTCCTTAGAAAAATACATTGCTAAGATAGGCAAACCAAATTACGCATTACGAGTCAGTTTACCTTTTATTATGTTTACCTTATAAATACTCAGTACATTCACGGGTAAACATCAGTTTTCTAACGAAAAGATTTATTTAATAACATTGGAATTTATAGGTCAAGGGAAGCAGCCTAAAAATTCTTATGATAAAACATTGTTTACAAGTTTCAGTATTTACAAAATGATATTAAAAAGCAATTAAGAACGAATCTATCACATCTATTTCATTTACAAATTAGTTATAATGGATTAGGTACTTACGTAAACTATTTATTTTATTATATTTCTTATATTTCTTATTATTTTACAAGCCCGCCAAAGCCTCCTATATCCGCTGCAACTACTGTAAGCGACGTTCTACAGTAGATACAACCATGAAAACCGAAATGAAACGTTGGTCGAACTTATTAAACCTCACAACGAAATTTAAGAAGAAGAAGAAGAAGAAGAAGAAGTCAGAAGATAATTTGAGGAGAAGAAAAGCTAACGAACGTTATCCACGACTGACATATGTAGATTAAAAACTAGGATAGATGATGAATGGATAACGAAAAGTTTATCTAAAGATGATGTTAAAAAAATGATGATTTTCTTTCACGTATCTTAGATATACGAGTAGCACAGTAAACAAAATTTTTGGTAGAAGCTGTTACGATGAAAACTAATCAGTACACCTGGTGGCAACATTTCTAGTTATATGAGTACCTGTAACTAGTAATGTTGCCGCAGGTATACACTAAACTATTCTTGATCATTGACGACTAAAAATCTCTTTTAATTTACAACAGATAAAATTACCATTACCAAAATATAATTAATAGCTATAATATTTTAAATCCACCACGTTGAATGAGTATCATTGCGCGGCGAGCACGTTCTCGTTAAAATATATCCTGTCATATCCGGGGAATGACAATGTCCGCCACATAATTTATTAATGGTCTCCATTACATAGCTGTTTTACACAAATAGTTGCTGATTTTACTGTGAATCGATGCTGATTATGCATAAATTTAGTGTAAACAAGCATCATAAAATAAACGTGTGGCAGAGCCATGTTTCGGAACGAATAGGCAGGCAAAACTGGAGCACAGTGATACTACGCCCGTATAGAAAACTGGCGTGAAACTACATTTGCGTGGTGTTCCGCCATGTTAGTGAGGTCACCGGGGACCAATGCTTCCCTTCCCCTAATTCCTAAATCCCCAATACCCTTTATCACCAAATAATGATAGCAAAGCACTTGCAACTCCTCTGATGTTGTAAATGTCCTTGGGCGGCTCAGTGATTGCTTATCATCAGTTGACCCGAAAGCTCGTTTGCCAACCTATCACTTAAAAAATTATGTATTACTATTGGTTTTAATCACCTATTTTGCAAAAGTCGTTTGATAACTGATCAAGATGGCCTATGAAAGGTGTATAGTTCCATCCCTCATTGTCGCCCGGAAGATTGACGCTCACGCACGTCATGGTAGGCCCTCAGGTCTTTCGAACCGGACGAATAGTATTGATATTGATACAATTTTAAAATCCTCACTTGTCACAATTACTTTCCCTACCTCTGCAGCCAAAGAAAGGGGTAATCTATTACGTCATAGGTACATACTTGAAAACTATAATTGAATTCATCGCTTCCCACCTATCGCTCTCATTTTAATGTCATTAAAAGTTACTTGGATTTACAATATTCCTTAGTCAACCAGTTCGACTAATGACTGCTAAGTTAAAGGTACCTACATCATACCAAATTAGATTACCAACTTTACTTGCTTTGAAATAATGTCGACAATCGATTAGAGATATTGGACTGTTAAGGATAGCTTGATGAGCTGCCACCTGTTCCTATAATAGATAAGTAATTATAAGTCTGTTAATGAGTTTGCAATGTCTGCTAAGTGGCACTCGTTAGCGTCGCCGACGCAGCTGTTTGTTAAGGAAGAGAAACACTCAAGAGCTATTGTGATTATTTATGGTAGTAATTACATAAGTTATGGAATTTTCATAGAAATCAATAGAAAGTAAATTAAATTTCGAGAAAGACCTTTTTATAATTTTTTTAAACGTTGTCTAGGATCCTTGGAAACTTTGTGCCGTGCTTGTAGGAAGAAGTCATTTAATGATTTTCCAATCACAAAAAAAAGTGTCACATACAAAAGTATTTGTGGATCAAACAAAGTGTTTCACTTAGTTTTTATAATAACTATCGTGAGACATACTAAATTAACTAAAAATCGCGGTTTTAGTTTCAGTTTCAGTGTTTCACTTAGGTGCTGCAAGTTTTTTTTTTCAATTTATTTCGTATTCGTATACACAACAATGAGTTACAAAGCTTTTCGAAAATTAGAAAAGTTTGAACGATATTATTACCGCATTACCTTGCCTTATTCACACACGGTCTTCAGGTGAAGTACTTAGAAATTGCCACATTTTGCCAAGCAAAATTTCAATTTAGATTACCCTCTTTACTCCACTTCCATACACCACTTAATTATCAAAAGAGGCAATGTATTGTAAAAGTGAAACGTCTCTTCTCCTTGTGTACTCGAGTACCGTAATTAAGGAGTACAATGGAAAGTGAGTTTGTGTTACTTATAGTTAATTATGCTGATCTAAATGAACGCTGAATACTCTGGCAGTTAATGAACGCTGACCCTGAATTTGTATGAGAGAAACTAATCACTGAACCACTTTGATTCTCATTTTGATGTTGATTACAGCGAAAGGAAGAAAAGTTTTGGCACGAATCCTCTAAGTAACTTGTGACTGTGTGGCGGAAGATTTTTTTTTTTTTAGTTTTGGGGACAATTTGAGACTTTGAATATAATTCTGTAGGTAAGGAATCAAACTAGGTATCTTTGGGATTCATCAATTCAATTTCAAATTAAACCGTCCAAATCTATGTGAAGAGTGGACTAACCGTAAGAAACTTCAGTTTGCTAAATATTGCATGAGCTTCCTATTTATTTACTAGCAATATCTATTATTCCCAATACAACTGGTGCCATTGTACTGCACTGTTTACTACGCAGAACGCTGGTCTTTTGTTCCGCGACAACCATTTTATTACTATTCTCCAATGTCAAACGTTCTGAACATCTCTTGTTTAATTCTTTATCAATATTAGGAAATGTAAAACCTGTAGTTCCGAACAAAAACATTAATAATTGTTACTATTTAAATCTTTT